GGCAAAGATACTGGAGTGGTTTGCCATTTCCTTCTCCAGCTCATTTTATCCTCCATCCGCTGCATCACCTAGCTGCCCAAAACTTACTCTATAGGTTCTGAATAAGGGCAGCGAGGTGGCATAGTGGATAGAGGGTTGAGCCTGCAGTCAGGAAGACCTGAGTTCAAATCTGACCTCAGACATTTATTAGCTGTATGACCCTGGTCAAGTCACTTGACCCTGTTTGCCTCAGTTTCCTCATATGTAAAATGAGCTAGAGAAGGAAATGGCAAACCACTCCAGTATCTTTGTCAAGAAAAGCCCAAATGGCATCAAGACGTGTCAGACCCTACTGAAATGACTTAACAACCACAAAAATTAATTGACAACACAGTCGTTATAATTTAGAGAAGAAAAACCCTTTTGCTTCTCTTTGCTTTGGAATTTCCCCTGAGGAATGAATCAAAATGCCCCCCCCAACACACGCACAGCTCTGCACTTCATTATCCTCTTACATTTATAGATTCAAAAAATGAGGTTATGAAAGTCAAGTGACCTGTCATTCAATGGGCCCTAAGTAAAAATAAGTTATTTTGCAGGACTAGGGTGCCATTTTTGCTATGCACACAGTTACATAACATTAAAGTGGTATAATGGACAGTGACCTGGCCCTGAAGCCAGAAAGGCCTGGGTTCAAGTCCTGCTGCTGACTTGTATTGGCTGTGTGACCCTGGGCAAGCCGCTTGATCTCTAAGCATCTCAGACAACTAAGACTTGAAAGTGGCCGAGCAGGCGTTGATCTGCTTGGGCAGAGGGCTAGTCTTCACCTGGAAGTTATTTCTACCTGGGAAATCACAGGTCCATTCTCTTTCCCCATTCTAAAGTATTACCAGCCCTGGGACTAAATTCACAGCCTTGGGTGAGCAAATAATAATTGTTTCCATACAGTCTTTTAAGATTTACAAAGTGCTTCCTAGCAGCTTACTTTGCAGATGAGATAAAATGGTCTCCTACAGGCTTCCTGGCCTCCCCTCTCCCCAGCATCCGGTCCAGCCTCCGTGGTCCTGCCAACGTGATTTTCCCTTAAGTGTAGGTCTGACCATGGCCCTCTCCTAAGCATTCAACAACTCTAGTATTTCCTCATTGCCTTTAGGATAAAATATAAACTCCTTCATCTGGCCATTAAAACTTTGCACAACCTGGTTCCAACCTGTGTTTTCAACCTCACTGGGCATTACTCCTCCTCCTTCATTATTTGATCTAGCAAAACTGTCCTCCCCATTCCTCCATGTCCCATCTCCCACTTCTGTGCCTTTGTCCTGACTGTCCGCCATGCCTGGCATGTAACCCCTCTTCACCTCTGCCTCACAGAATTCTTCTCTTCCTTCAAGACGCAGCTTAAGCACCACCTTCTATGTGAAATCTTTCCTGATTCCCCTCACATGCTAGCTCATTAAATGTCTTGTCATTGACCAATTTGTAGTTTTTGTATTTCTTCTCTTTATAGTCTGTGTATATTTATGTGTCCTTGTCGTCTTTCTTGTTAGAATGCGAGATCTCTGAGAGTGGGGGTTGTTTCGTTCTTTGTATCACCTGACAAAAATAACTCATTTGATTCTTACAATACTGGGAGTTAGGTGTTGTTATTATCCTCATTCTACAGTTGAGGAAACTGAGGCAGACAGTAGCTAAGTGACTTATTCAGGATCACACAGCTAGTAAGAGTCTGATGCCAGACGTCAACTCAGGTCTTCCTGATTTCAGGCCCAGCTCTCTATCCACTGAGCCATCCATGTATATCTGATGCCTCCCATTCCTGTATATCTGGTCTTTTACAGTTAATCAATCATCGGGTACTGTGCTGGGAGCTGGGAATACAAAAACCAATAATGAAACAATTCCCTACTTGCAAAGAGCTTACATTTTAAAGGAGGAGACGATAAGTACCCTCTTCCTCCCCTTCTCTCCATATGTATTTATGTATGTGTGTATATGTGTATGTAAATGTATATATGCATATACTGGTATGTATGTATGTATACATATGTGTGTGTATATAAATACAAATATACATGCATATGTGTATCTGTGTATGTAATGTATGTGTATATGTGTGAGCTCAATCACCCATCTTTGGGGAAGACTGCCTAGAAGTGGAAAACTTGATGAGGTAAATGCCTCAGAAGTGGTGTGTACGGGGATTTGACAGGGCTTGGTATTGATATGAAAAGTGATGGAGAGGAAAAAGTCCAGCATCACTTCAAATAAGGCACAATGAATCACCATGCTGCCCTTGACAGAGAGAAGGCACCTATTATAGGGCAGACCCAGGTTCACTGCTTTTAATTAAGAACTCTCTACATCCACCAATTATCTGTTTGTTTACTCAGCTAATGGAAGAATCACAAAGATCAAAGTATTAAATTATAACCCTCGACTTCCATCTGAGAACCCTGACTACCCATTACTGTTAGCATCTATTTTTCTAATACAAGCACTCCTCACTTCAAGAAGTCAGATTAAGGTTATAAAACTTGGAAAACAAAATCCAGCCTTATAAAACCTATCAATTGGGGGTGACAGCTCCATTATAAAAGATGGATTCCTCACTTCATAAAGGAATTTGTCACGTTTCTTTTTAAAAAATGATCCCAGAATCCCAGAATGTGAGAGTTGGAAGAGATATTGGCGTCATGTACGAGCCATACGTGAAAAAGAATTTCCGCCTTAACACTGGATCATAGAATCATTGATATCAGGGGTGGGCAAGCGACTAGTTGTCCAGCCTCTGCTTAAGGACCTCCACAGAAGGGGAGCCCACCGCCTCTCAAAGTAGCTCATTTCATTTTTAAAAAGCTTTCATTTGGAACTCAAAGTTTTAAAAATGAATGTTAAAAATTGTTCTTTTTTTCATGTAACTGGGGACAAATAAAATACTAAATTAAGGCAAGAACAGTTGCTCCTGGTTCTTCCCTCTGGGTCCAAATAAAGCAAGTCTTATCCATTCTATGCATTAGAGCCCGTAAGCAAACAACATAGCTGTCATGTCTCCTCTTCTTTGGGCTACAGATGCCCAGTTCCTTCAACTGATTCTCATATGACATGGAGTCAAGACCCTTCATTGGTCTGGCTGCCCTGCTCTGGACATCCTCCAACCTATCAATACCCTTCTTAAACTGTGGGGCCCAGACAGGAACACAATATGCCAGACGAGGCCTGACCAGGGCAGAGAACAGTGAGACTATCACTTCCTAATTCTGGAAACTATATCCCTCTTAAGGTCACCCAAGATCCTATGAGTTTTCTGGGTTTCTGCATCCTGCTGCTAACTCATTTTGAGCTTATAGTCCACTAAAACCCCATTTTACCCTTGTGAATGTGATCTTTTTGCACCTAACTGCAAAATGTTACCATTACCCCTATTATATTTTATCTTATTGTTGTTGTTCAGTCATTTCAGACTTTTCATGACCTTATTTGGAGTTTTCTTGGCAAAGACACTGGAGTGGTTTTGCCATTTCCTTCTCCAGTTCACTTTACACATGAGGAAACTGAGGCAAACAGGGTTAAGTGACTTGCCCAGGGTCACACAGTTGATAAGTATCTGAAGCCAGATTTGAACTCATGGAGATGAATCTTCCTAACTCCGGGCCCAGCACTCTATCCACCGTGCCACCTAGCTGCCCCATTTTATCTTACTGGATTCAGCCTAATCAATCCTGATGCTATTATCCAGAATGTGAACTCTCCCTCCCAACTTTGGGTCATCTGAAAAAATTGATCAACATACCGTCTGTGCTTTTATCCAAGTCATTGATAAGAGTGTTAAACATTCTTGGCCTTCTGGACCAAGCACAGGTCCCTGGTGGATTCCGCCGAACATCTCATGCCACAATGACACAGAACCATTAACAACTTTATCTTGAGTCTGGCTGTCCAACTGTTCTGATTCCATGAATCCATCTGGTTTTATTATTCTCTAATCCATCTCTCTCCATCTTCTCTACACCACAGTATAAAATATTTAATAAAAACTTTGTTAAAATCTAGGTATATTATATATATAGCACTCTCCTCATCTACTGGCTTAGCTCCCTGGGATATTTAAAAGGTAGCTCAATTCACCAAAAAAAAATATAATTTTGGAGATACCTCTATTGCATTATATATAAAAAGATTGTCTTTCTGACCTCTTTCTTCTTCTGCCAAGGCACTTCCTGCTCTACCTATCTGTAGAAAACAGGCCCAAGTGTCTTTTTTTGTTTCATTGGTTAATGTTGGTTCCTTTTAGAAAAGGAGGGAATGTCCTTCTAGTCTAAGGAAGGCATTTAAAATTATTTATGAGGAAGGTAGCATTTTGCACATACACACAAATACACACAAGAAGATGTTTGTTTGTGTGTGTACACACACACACACACACACACACACACACACACAAAGAATTTTTTTCTGTCCCACTCAGTGGTTTTATCAACGATTTGGTTGAAAATACAGATCCACATACAAATGACATGACACCAGGAGAGATGGTCAGTATGACAGGTGACCAAATTGGAATTCAAAATTCAGAAGGGAATGTATGCTGGGTTA